TAAAAAGAAAAAATTTACATTTCAAATAAAATTGTCACTCTCTCTTTCCTTTAAAAAAACTACTAAGCACCCATACATGGTATCTTTCTGATGAAAAATGAACGAATATGCACAACTTTGTGAAACCCGTAAAAACCGGCCGATCCAATTCACTCAACCGGTCCGGCCGGGCCGGTTACAACTTTGGCCCACGTACGCTATGACTACCCACAAAAGTCAAGGACAAACGATGCCCAAAATCGTTGTCGATCTTGTCTTTCCTCCGAGACCATCCAAACACAAGCCTATGTACCGCTATCGCGAGTGAAGGAATTGAAACATTTAGTTATTTTAAGAGAATTTGACATTAAGAACATGCGGATCAAGCCGAAGGAAGAGCAGCTGCGAGAATTAAATCGACCCGACGCATTAGAGAAGGAAACTAGGAAGAGATATGAACTGAAATCTTCCATTTTTTAACTTTCTCCGTTCCTTTTTTTGGCGATATTTATTGTGCCCAAAATTCGCGAAAATCGACGTAGTAGTGAAAATTAACAATCGGCAATGATTAAGTCTAATCGACCAGGTCCGCTGCTTCTTTGCTTCGAAAATTTCCCCACCGCTATACATAAAGAAATAGCCCCTGACATTGATCCGCAGTAACTTGTGTAGTATATTTGTAAATAAGCCGTTCAATTACATTTGTGATGTTTTTTGTTTTTAATTTTTCTGTACTATTATTCATTAGAATTGAGCGTTAATTGTCAACTATATAAAAAAATTTAAATGGAATCTCTTGTTCTTCGTATTTCTTTAGTACATTGCTTTTCAGCATTTTATCGGATCCCTACAAGCCGTATACACGATATTTGTATACGCTTCATTACAGTGTAACGGCGAAAATACTTCTAACTATATGAATAACAAGTAGCCGATTCGTACACTTCACTCGATATTACTGTGTACTCGATATTTGCACAGAAAGCTTGTTTATTCAGACACCGCAGTAGAAGTCTAATTCGAAAAAGAAACACCTATAGATGGAGAAATGTTGTCCTTTCTTTTTATGGTATATTTAGAGTGGAGAATTGCGGGTACCGTTCAGCACTTTAAAATGTTACAAAATTTTTGAAATCACTTGTCTAAAAATGCTTATTTCTTTAACTATTAACGGGGACGTCCTCCCATTCAGATTTGGTTCAAACTTGCTAGATTCTAGAGGACACTTCAAAATATATATCAAAAATTTTTGGAGGTATGCGGACTTATAGTTTTCGAGAAAAAAATTTTAAAATTTTTTCGGTCTTTTTTGCCCATTTTTTAAAATATAAATAAAATTTTTACTTTTCTGTTTGAAACCTCGGTTTTGTAACCAATCGATAGAGTGCCTCGAGATGTATATGTGAAAAGATTGTCGTCGTTCCCCGACAATGTTTAGCGGAGAAATTCGGATTTGGCCTTCAGAGTGTTCTTTTGGGGCCAAAAACTGTGCTTTTTCGAGATCTTGTCTGTAGTTTTTCTCCGAGGAAGCATTTTCGAGCGAAAATGTGAGTGTAGAAATTGTTTATCATGTTGTTTTCTATGCGATGATACTTTTTTGTCGCTAAATTTTTTAAGGTCAATCTCTAGAACTAAAAATACCGAGACGCTGCAATACGGAGAAAAGGCGCTAAAATCATATGCTACATAGCTTTATTTGTTGAAGTTAACAATGCTTCAGTGACACTAATTACTCAGCTTGGCCAAGCACCACGGAGGTACAGATTTTGAAATTTCACGCCGTCTATCTCTATAATTATAAGAGCGATGTGGCTCACTTTGTCTCTAGAAACATTATGAAATTCTGTTTATGCTAATAAACTAGATTTGTCTTGGACATTCTATCAAAAGTTATGGTCAAAATAGATGATGTCACGAACTACCAAAAACCGATAGCCTTTTTATAGGATTCTTCGAAGTTTTCAGGAAGCTCTGAACTGAGATCAAAGAAAAGAGTTGTTTGTTCTACACTTGCAGCATTTTGCTTGATGCTTCAGAATATGTAATCCACTTTCTTTTGTAGAGTCTATGTCAAGCGCAATTCTCGAAATATGCTCCACCACGGAAATATAGTTATTTTTCCAGCATTTTAAATTAGGTGGCTTGAAAGCCGCATTTTTGACATTTTTCGATCATTTTCGTCATGAAACTACACAGAACAATAAACTAATTATCCTGGTGACTGATATTTAGCTGGTCAAGCCGTACGAAAGTATGCTGGTATCCATGCGGGCTTCGAATGAGCCGAGTCCAGTCCGACTAAGCAAGTCTGGGTTACAGTTACCATACCAATGGACACCACGGCAACTGTTGCCATGGCAACGACCACCATGCCTGCCTCTTGACATTGCACCAGTTGCTATAGTAATAGCAGCCCAGGTATAGGGGTTAGCAGCCCAGGTATTTCTGTAATAACAAGCATATATATTTCAAATACTTCAAAATGTGGGCGGTATTTGTGCAAGAAGAAACCTATATGTTTTAAAAACCAACACAACTGTGTAAAAAGTCCGTGTATCTACTTATAAACCTCTGTAGTGCGTGAAAGAAGAAGATTGCAATAAACCATCGTGAATTATGGAAGGCTACTATTATATGTGCTTGCTGCCGTCCAGCAATTGTATAGGATGTAATGCAGCATTTTACCGTGACAGTAAACCAACTATTGAACGGCAAAAAAAAGCGTTTACGATTAACAAACATATAGCAAACACTGTTTTTATTGATTATAGTATAATTCTGCAACATCACCATAAATTATGCATTAACTGTTCAAAATCTAATATAATTCAATGGTTTGATAATGTGAAAAACTCATCAGTCGGAATAAATCGATTCGTTTCATCATTATTGTCAAAACAATTTAATCACAACAATTAAAAGTATCAAAAATTGAATTCGATATAGTAAATGACGAACAGTGCAAGTCATTCAGTCGTCTTTCTAAACCTGACATAACACAATTAGCATCAATTATACGATCACCGTGTCAAAATGTTTTCATATATTTCACAATGATGTTTCGTGGTATATGTCAAAGATTTGCAAGTGTTCTGTTTGGTATATCGCAAACAAGAATATCACAAATATTTCATGAAGTCATTGATCAGATGGTCCAGCATTTTGTTCCATTGCATATCGGACCGACCGCATTTACGAGCGATGATATTATGCAGAACCACACACCGAAATGGGCAACACTCTTATTACCACAAGCTATTGGAATGATTGATTCTACGTATATTTACGTTCAGAAGTCGTGAAATTTCAATAATCAGAAGAAAAGCTATTGTTCTCATAAAACAAATAACTTAATTAAAATGATGGGTGTAATGTTATTAGATGGGAGATGGTTTGGTATGTATGATCCTTACATGTCAGATGGAAGTAATAATGAAATCATTTGGAATACATTAAGTGGTGAAAGCGAGGAAGAACGTAAAAGTAACGATCTATGCGAACAAAGAAAAGAATTACAATCAACTTTTACAAGAACTGACATGTTTGTAGCTGACAGAGGTTCACAAGATGCAAAGGGAAATGGGCTTTGTATACGCCTGACTCAATTTGTAAAGGTGAAAAACAGCTCAGTACAATGAAAGCGAATCAAACCAGATGTGTTACCCGCATTCGTAACGGTATTGAACGGGGCTTTGGAAGATTAAAGCAATGGAAATTTGTTGATTTTGTTGTTGATACTAACTATTTACCGACCATTGCTAAAATCATGAAAATATTATGTGCAGTTGACAACGCATTTTTTACGCAGTTAATAGAAGACAATGATGAAGTTCGTATTGAAGCAGAATGTTTATTAAGTAATTTAGAATTAGAAAACAAAGTCAGGTCATTAGAAGCCGAAACCGGTGGATGGAGGAAGGCTAATATTGATGATATTAAAAATATTATCCCAACATATGACCAAATAGATATTGAAAAGCATAGTGGTGAATATTCTATTCGACTAGCACACGTTTATTTAGATCATATTGAACAAGAATGGGCAGTTTATACACATCAACAATTCAGATTAAAAATATCGTATCGAGGTATAAGACCACAGACAATCCAAAAAAGCATACCGTTTTTGTCCGTTCTGGTAAAAGGAAGCTTGCTGATATGGCTTCGTATTGTACGTGTAAAACTGGCTTACGTACAGCTAGTGGAGAATGTGCTCACGTAACTGCAAGTTTAGTCGCTTTTAAACACTGGAAGAAGAACGAAGATATACCATCGTTTTACAGGAAAGCTGAAACATTGTTTATTGATGTTTTTGACTGTGCGAATTACAAACAAAGAACAAAATACTGTAATATCGAAATGACATCTGGAGAATCAGAAGTGAATACTGACGATGATGAAATGATGATAGAATAAATGAGATATTTAACAGTAACATATCACACTAGATTTTTATTACACCTATAGTTTCGTACCTAGTTTCGTATGTAAGTTCGGAAGCTATTAGTTTTCAAAGAAGCTCTTTTCTACTCGGATTCCACTTTTACCTAGCAAAATCTAATATTTCACTGGACAAAACTGGAATCGAGCATGTGTACGCACATGCATCTCAGTTTTCCCTGGGGAAAACTCGGATTCCACTTTTACCCAGCGAAAGCTAGAATTTCACCGAATTCCAATTTTCGCTACAACATATATATATATGAGTTAACAAGATATTAGGTTGAGGAAAAAGTTCGTGCGCCGTGTTAAAATAATGATTTTTTATATATTTTTTTTTGTGTTTTTGATCTGGTTTTGTGACTATTATGAAAATTTCTTGGTTTTTGAAACACTTGAACCATTTCTGTGCAGGTCGCGGTACCACCCTTCAACGTCGCAAATTGATTTGGCAGCTGCTTTTGCATCCAAATTCTTTCACTAATAATGACGCAGCAGTACGTGAAGCTCAAAAGTTGTGATTTCGTAATCAGACATCTTAAAAAATCAATAAATTTTCATAATAGTCACAAAACCAGATCAAAAACACAAAAAAAATATATAAAAAATCATTATTTTAACACGGCGCACGAACTTTTTCCTCAACCTAATACATATTATTTGAACAAAGCCTAATCTTTCCCTTCTAATGTTAAATTTAAATAACTGTTAGAAAAAGATTCCTTTAAAAAGAAAGATAAATATCGGTCAAAGCAGAACTTATAGATAAACTAATTTCAATGAGATCTTTTAAAACAGAAATCCTTACTTATTGGTTAAAAGACGTTCCGACATCAGAAATACGTAATATCGCGCGAGGTAAAATCCCACTGTCATCATTTATTTGTAGTGCATGTACGTTATGGGCTATTCGTAATATAGCTTCTAATTGAGCTGCAGTAACAACGTTCCCTTCATCAATTCAAATTTATGTTAACAGTGACAAAGGAACCAATGATGATATAAAACTTCTACAATTGTCGAGCTGTGAAAGGCAATTTCTATTCCTATAACCACACAGGAATAACTCATTAGCGTGTGAAAATAAATCTACTGCATTAACTGACGTTTGACAAGATCTAAATATATAGAAGAAAAAGGTTTCTATAGTTCTTCCAAACAAATAAGGATATTTTATATATACTTTTCCAGGTCTGTAGAAAACAGGTATGTTGAAAGCTTTGTGTCATTATATGGTAAAGTGTATACCATGAAACAATGATAATTATGACGTATATCAAAATTATCCCTTTCTTGGATAAACACCCTTGGTTGTTGCCGATTAGTAAATGGACATTTTGAAAATGAATTGAAAATTATTTTTTCTTCCAAGTCGTACTGAACATATAACAATAGATTAAGAATATAGGTTGCCGATGGTTTGAGACGATCGATACATAATTGCTGAATAATGTCACCTGATATAATCAATGGACCAGAATTTAATGTAAATACTTCTAATTTTATTGACAGATGACTAATCGTAAGTTGACCAAACACACTTGATAAAAGCGCAATAATTCGATGAAAACTAATGTTATTTGCACAATTTATACTCAGACGAGACAGATACAAAAGGTGACGGCCATCGATGGCGGCAGGTAGTCTAAACAGATTCATATGAGTGATATGTTGAAAGATAGTAGTATTACGTACGAGTTTATGTCAAAACTATCGCCCTCATTGATCCATGGATCATTCACGCCAATAGAAAGACTCTCGATAAATGGTATACACGATAATAAACGTTCGAGAAAACGTGATGTGTGCATACCAATAGTCAATGTACGAAGATGATTTGTATTTGTTAAATTTGGTAAACTCATTAGTGGTACTGACGAATCTTTATCTAATTCTTCTTGAATTTCACGATAAATATTAAATGGAAGTCGACAAGTTCTTAGAAGAGGCATTTGCGAGCACACCTTTGATAAAGATACAAAAATGAAGTTTTATGCATAATAATAGTAAAAGGTTTTTTTTAATTTAATTTAATTAATTTTTTATCTAAATTTCATAATGAATTGAAGAAATATTTGTTTCTTTTACCTTAGCTAGATAAACTCCTTCAACTTCAAGATAATTGAACAGATTAGATTCTGTCACATCAACTAATAAAGTATTCAATTGTTTTATTAAATGATGGCGCAATAATTTATCAAATTCATGTGGGTGAATATCAATCAGACGAAGATGTCGAAGTAACGTTGTTTGATGATATTTTTAGAGATGATGAAACAAGTGACCACCCCCCAATCATATGAGTTAATGTTAGACGTAATGAGATAAGCCGAGCTCCTATCAATTTCAAGACATTTTGACAAAGATTATTGAACATCAATAATGACATTCTATCATCACCAATATGAATATGCCATAAATATTCATAGATAAGGATTCTTGAAAAACGGTTATTTAACGATAAAAATGATTGAAGAATATCAACAGGAGGCAAATAATCAAAAATTTCAAAAAACACATCGATAGGTAGAGACTCAAACGTACTGACCGTCATTTTTTTATGCCTCTTCTTCATTCCTATTGAGTTTTATATATATTGACATCCACAATGATATACTTCCGTCTATTTTGTTGGACGAGCGTTATCGCGCGAATTTCTAAATGTTTCTGTACAAGTTATTCGATGTGTTTATAGAATGTAGTTTGTTTCCTTTATCGACGGATACACTCTTCAACTATTATTCAATATATCAAAAATGGTCCATTTATTTAATTTTTCTTAATTTTCATGTGGAAAGAATAATGTGTATGTCAATACATATATAACTCAATAAGAATAAAAAAGAAGCATAAAAAAAATGACGTTCATTACGTTTAAGTTTATCTAGCTAAGGTAAAAGAAACAAATATTTTTTCAATTGATTATGAAATTTAGATATTTTTCCTCAAAAAAATCATTTACTATTGAGTGAAAATACGTCATGGATATATAGTTAAAAAGTATATATCTTGTTAACACATCTATATATATTCATGTTTTCCATACAAAACTATATAAATCTATTTGAAATATATACTCGTATGTCCTAACTTCGACACTGATTTTTCAGATTAAGTAAAACTTTTTAGATAATGACGTAGCTGGCATTAAGGGCTATCTATATATGTCGAAATATTAAAGTAGAATAAAGTAGAAATATGTATATGTAAATATATAAATAAGGTCGCATTTATACTAATCAAGGTAAAAGTTAAAATGAAGACGTATATCAGCTTCTTATTTTTTCTTCTCAATTTCCATTCTAGATGCGGCAACTCCCGCAAGAGACAAGGTCGTGCCCCGCAGGAGATATGATGCGTTTCCAAATTTTGGGGTATGTTACAGTGCGGGATACACATTCTGAGTCAGTTCTGCCATATATTTAGGAAGAGACTCAGATTGTGATGAGTCACCAGTATATATATATGGATCGAACCCTATATAATGTCTAGTTTTCAGTCAATTTAGGCAGAATTATTTTAAACATAAAACTGGATGTACATTTTAAGGTGTAATGCAAAATTTTCCACGAAAATCTGAAACTTCAAAAAGCCACTATGTTATCCTTGTTCAGTTCAGCATGCTGCATCTTTCTGTGGAAGTTTCAGAGAGATCCACTCAGTCGTTTAGGAACGAAAAGGAAACAATTTTGGAAAAACTGGATGTAAAATAGTATTTCAGGTTTTCGGTTGGCTTAAAACAAAGCTATCCAAATGATTTTTAGCTAATTTTGTAGTATGCTTCACGGTCTATCTTTTGGTCGATCTACTCTTTTTAAAATCAGCTCCGTTAACCGTACTGCGCCAGTTTTAAACTGGATGTACACTTTGCCTGTAAAAATGTTTTGAGTCTGAAAGGGCATTATAAGGTGAATAAAAGCCGAAGTGAATCACATATTTGGACCGAGAATTCAAAGTTCTACAAAACGCGCTATTTTGTGTTCATTTGTTTCTTTTCTTAGAAAAATCCATTTTTCTGTCGATGAGTCATCGAAAAAATGCGTTTATTCGACTTTTGACCCATGTATCTCAGTGAGTTGACATTAGGTCGTTGCGAAATATTTTCTGGTAGTGAGGCATGACTTTGGGAAGAGAATTAAAGAAAGTTTTTTGAAATCGGTTCATAGGAACGGAAATGAGCGATAAATGTAAGCGGGTACAGTGAAGCGGATGGAGGTGCACGAAGGAATGTTGACAAATGCATGTACATATTGATCATTGTCTATTTACCACTCCGAAATGCTGCTTTTTATATATACTTTGCAATGATGTAGTAAAGATCTTTCTACAAGTTTGGTTCAAATTGTCTTCTGAGTAGCAATGTATCCAAGTCAATGTCTATGTTTGAGTCACGAGGAGATAAGTTGTTTAAAAGTTCTTTTCTGGCTAGAACATAGTTCGGGCATTGAAGAAAATAGTGTTCGACCGGCTCTTGTTGTTTAAGTTACTAAGCTTAATATCGTACGACTTAGTTTTATTTGTTGTATATTGCACACCTGATATGTTTAGTGAGATGGATTCAATTTAGTTCAACCTTGCGGATTTGAGTTTGTCGACAAAATATTGATTTGAATAAAAGTCTTCCTTTATTCACTGAAAATCCGACCTTTTCAAGCCTCCCTCCTTCCATACATGAGTCGATAGAGTAAAACCATCTCTTCTTGACTGTTAACATTTTTTTTGCATCATAAAAGACTTCTTCATGCTCAGGAGCTAAAAAGCTGTATTGATCCGTCAACAAAAAAAGGGCGTTTCGATATTAGATTAGGGGTCCGACTACGACTCTGAATTAGCAATAGAAAACTTTCAGAATATATATTATATTGGCATGGATAAGAGAAGCAAAAGAGAATTGATTGAATATTTCATTGTATGACTCATGATACACGGAAATTAATCACTACTAATGTTGTGTTAGTTTCCAAAAGTTTGAGACTTGTAATAGTTTGTAATAGTATAACTAAATTAGAATTGTAAGAGGGACTCCAATTTCATTCTGAAAACGTTGGTTTAACGATTGTAACTCATTATATTCTTCTTCTTTGTAGATTAGTCGTGTATACCAAATTTTACTCATAAATAATTCGACAGACTGTATTCGGATCACTGTGCCAAGGGAAAACATGATTAAGTTTTTATCTTGAGAAATACTTTATTCCCTTCACTGAAAGTCTAGGGTCATATGAAATAAATGTCGGCGTCGCGTCCGCATGTGACGGACGTACATACACATAGTGACCAGTGAGTGTGACGGACGTACATACATATAGTGACCAGTGAGTGTGACGGACGTACATACATATAGTGACCAGTGAGTGTGACGGACGTACATACATACAAGTAACGCTCGCTAGCTCGCTGACTCTCCACCGAAGGCATCGGGCGATCATCTGGTGAGCACTATCCACAATGTGTTCTGAAATATGCGCAGGTGGGTGCGTCACACTAGTGTGGTGCAGCCGTTGTTGCGCATTGAAATTCGCCCGATGAAGTCATTGACTAGTGCATGCAATTTCACGTTTTTCCGTTAATTTATTGTTTTCTTCACGAGGTGCGATGTTAATGAAAATGTTATGTAGAACAAAATGTTCTATTTTGCCATGAGTAGATAGGGAAGACGTTTCTGAATGAAAAAACAGACATCTCGAAAGGTATTGAAATACTAATGCAAATAGTGTACTGCTTTCTGAAAGTTTCGAATTTAGGAACAATGGTTCATAAAAAAAAGTCAAATTCTTAGACCGCCAGTATATCAAGTGTACTGAACGATGGAAATCGAGGTAGAAATGTCATATAAGCTAGATATTGACCAGACATGCATGTATTCAGTTTGGTTTAAGCTATTTATTTGAAATAGTAGAAAGTAAAGAGCGCTAGTGTTACTAATTCGGCATTGCCATTATATAGTGAACACGAGGCTCGCATTATAGAAAGAAAACAGCATCGAAATTGAATGAATAAGTTAGTAAAGTAGTTAGTAAGCATTAAAATAAATGGGCAGACTGATTGTCTTAGAAACACAGAAAATTTTACGAGTAGAAAAAACACGTGGGATTTCAGTAGTATATATGTATTCAGTTTCTGATTAATTACATAAAACATCGCAACAGCGCGCACAGAAAAAGAAAAAAAAGTATACCGACACACAAAAGTTAGTAACAACAACAGTAAAGAAGGTAAATGAGTAAGCCGCATAGTTCCGTCAAAGATATTGATAAAAACGGTCAAAAATCTCTTTAGTTTTCTTGTCTAATTCATGGAGTCTCTGAAGCTCCGCTTGTTGTTCTTTGCTCGGCTTGACTCTTAAAGCAGAGTCCGGAAAATCACGCAGGATCGCCA